GCCATCAGTGGCATCAGGTTCAGGTTCCTCAGTCCTGAGATATTGCAACAAAGCAATCTAAGCAATATATAGCACATGCATCTTATACCTACTCTAACCTATAGGATCATCCTATTGGCTCTTTCATAAAAATCAATATTCTTAAATCCCTTTGCTCTTATACCACTCTTTGTTACGACCCGGCCCGGTTAGCTCGCAAGTGCGAGGCGGGAACGAAAGTCGGAATTAATTAAAACCTTTACATTACTCAATTAACACATCTCCAAACATAAACCAAACATAATGAAAGAGCCACTAATGAGTCTCCAAATAAAAACTTTCATTTCTTCCATTCAAACACATCAACATAAAGATTTAACATAAAGTATACAAAAAGTGAATGGTGTCCAAAAAGTTAATTCCTTACATATCATCTCTAAACCTTCTATTCAAAACATAAAAAATAGCATAACAAAACCTGCCGCCTGTCGTCTCCCTATGACGGTACGTGAGGGGAGGTCTATCCGCCATCTATCCTCTACCCGAACCTCCTGTAAAGTGTCCCACAACATGGGTGAGTCACAACTCAATAGGTGCAAATGAAATTCAATTAAATTTAGAGTCAAGAGAAGAAAACTATAACATGCTTTGGTATTTTAACAAAAGAATCATCAACATATATCAACTTTTGTTTTAAGGAGATGCATGCCTTTACCTCAACCTTCAAATTCTTATTCCTTTCATAACATTTTCATTCTTCCTTTTAAAACATTATGCGTCAAATGATAGTCTCAAATGCATATAACATGAATATGAAATGTTCATAATAGCTTAATATGTAAATATAACACCCGTCTCGAAAGTATCAGTACAACTTGTACTGATCAGGTACATAAAATTGGTCATTTATTTATCATTGGTTCATTAGAACCATTCTTTACCATGGCTCATAAGAGCCTCCTTTACCATTTGATACTTCCACGTCAACATGCACATACACTTAATACTTACATATTCATAAGAGATACTTTTGTAAACTATTCAAATGTATGCTTTCATAATGATATACATGTTTGCTATGCTTATGTGTTCATTTGTATGTAAATGAATGGTAAGTGTAGTACATATAAAGAAAAGAGCATGAGAATCATTCATGAGTTGTACAATTGCATAAAAAAAACCTTTATGTTTGCATCAAGTGTCCATGAACTTATACAAGGGAACATGAGTCATAAGAATATCATAATGAGCATAAAAGAAATTGTCATTTCTATGTATTTGCATGAAAGAAGAGTTTTCTAAATTTAGAAGTGTCTATTCCACCTACCTCAACTCGTGCACCTCTTTCGTTTGTCCGGTCAAATCATTTCCTTCAACACAATTAATATCCAGAAGAGACATACAAAAATGCATAAGTAAACTAGTCCCTACACAATTTCTTAAATCATTAATCTAAGGTAATAAAGAGTTCTTCCTAATATCATGTCTATGATTTCACATTAAACCCCCTCTACCATTCATGATATCCCTCACTCAAAATACAATTAAAATATCATTAATTTTCGGATTAGAATAAATCAAAATTATGAAAACTTGCATTACATGAAAAAGCCCTACAATAGTCTCTAAAATCCTTCCAAAAGCCCATTAGAACCATGAGGATAAAAATTTCCTTAATTAGGGAAAAACCCTAAATTTTAAAACTCAAAAAACCTTACAATGTTTTCCCATAAAAACTTCTTTATGTCGTTAGAAACATCTTTTGTGAAGGCATTTCCAAAGAAGGACAATTTTAAATAAAACCCTAATTTCCAAAGTTCGTATTTTTCATAAAAACAACTCACATTAGGGTTTAAAAACATCTCTTAACCCTTCCCTAAACTTTTCTCAAAGGAATCTTAAAGAAAACTCAAGTTTTCCTAAAACCCTAATTTAATTCCTTTAAAGAAAACTTAAGGAAAGAAGGAGAAAACTCAAGCAAACATCTTACCTTAGCCTTCCCTTGGATTTCCCTACGATTTCCCCCGCGAACGTTCGCCGAAAACCGTCGCTCGAAGCTTCCCCGTTGCTTTGCCCGTTCGCCTCTCCCTCTCCTTTGTCCGCTCGGTTTGGGCGAAATGAACGAATGGGGAAGAGTGGGGAGGTTTAGGTTTGCCTAATAGGGAGAAATGGGATTGGCCAAATGACCTAATTGCCCTCACTTAAGCAAATTCGACCTTTTAAAAGCTTAGGGGTAAAGTTGGCATTTCTAATCTTCCGAATTTAATAATTTCCAAAATACTCATAATTTAATATAGGTTTTATATATCAAAACGATCAAAAATTTTGTAGGATTTTATAAAAATATTCCCGTCGAAAATGACAACCTTGAATTTTTCACTTAAACTTCGTTGCGGCGCTTTTAAAAGTGTGCGAGGTCTAAAACGGCATTTTGCAGGTTTTACAGGGGAATTAAAAACTAAATTAAAAGTTGGATTGCCCTTATGGTTTGTGATGTATTTTGGGTTGACCAATGTGCCTGACACATTTATTAGGCAGCGAATTATATATTGCAACCTTTCATTGAAAATTTCTTAGTTGTTTATTTTGATAATATTCTAATCTATAGTAAGATGAGATGATCCTTTGATTCATTGTAATGAAGTTTTTATAGTTTTAATGTTTAAGAAATTATGATATTTTGTGCACCTTTGCATTTTAAGATGATTGTTTGGTGCATGACTTGCATGAAGACATTCAAAAGAAATTGGCAATTAAATATGATAATTGTTAGCTTTCTGATGCAAGCAAAAAATTTGGGTGAGGACCCCAAATTTTTGCAAGCAAAATAATATCCTTGCTAGGAAATAGAAATGACACAAATTAAAGAAAATATACAAAATACCAAAAAAGAGACACTTTTCTATCATAATAAGAAGACACTTACAACTTTTGACACAAACACAAATTAAAGACAAAACCTAATGATGCTTCATTCCATTAGAAGAAGGATACAAGTGGGGTGTAAACTTGCGGGTAGAAGAAGAGATAAGAAGCCGAGAAGAAATGGAGACAATTTCGCAAGCTTTCTCAAAGAGGAAAGGAAGGAGGGAAGTTGGACAAAGCTCGCAAGCTTTTCCAAACAACAAACCCGTGGATTTTTTCTTCCAAAAATCAGCACATCAACTCTTCCTAAAACAGCCACAAACATTTCTATTTATAGGCACAATGAGGGCAGCCAAACAGCCCAAATATCTCCCATTAAACCCATTAAATTCAAGGAATATAGAAGGCCAAAAGACTGCAAACAGTTGCAGGAAAACTGCACAGAAAACATGAAAAATCCCATGGAATTTCCCCCCAAACAGCCACCAAACAGCGGTAAATAAACCTATTAGATTTAGGGAAATGAAAGGCCAACAGCCATAACACAGCAGCCCCCAAACGGTACAACAAAACAGAGAAGAAAGCCGGAGGAACCAAGCAGCAGCCACGGGAACCCAAGTGGCAAGGCACGGGAAAAACAGCCAGCACAGAGAATCAAGCAGCCAACCACGGGAACCCAAGGGGCAAGGCATGGAAAACAGCCAGCACAGAGAATCAAGCAGCCAACCACGGAAACCCAAGGGGCAAGGCACGAAAAATAGCCAGCACAGAGAATCAAGCAGCCAGCCACGGAAACCTAAAGGGCAAGGCACGGAAAACACCAGCACAGGAAAATGAGAAGACAAAGGGGAGGAGAAGAGGCAAAGTCCACTACAAAATGAATTCAAGACTTAATACCAAACTTTTTTGGATTAATGAGCTAGGAAGTGCAATAAATCCCCCAATCATTGAGCTAAACTTTAGCTCAAACATTTATGAGCTAAAACTAAGTAAAATTCCAACATTTTGAGCTCAATACCAAGTAACCAAGGCTCACCCGAGAACATCAGAAGCCCAAGGGTCAAAACAAATTCTTATAATGTGGTGGCATGTAAAAATAGGATGTGATCTCTATTGTCTTGATTTCTTAGTTCTATGTGGTTTAATTAGGCTTATGCATTTCTCCTGAAATTTCTTTGGTTCATTTGTATGTTTTTTCCATTTTTTGATTGAACATATTATTTTCTATTAGAAAACACATTTAGGTTTCTCTCACTCCCGTGATCATGTGATCTATTAAGTATTGGTATGCTATTTTTGCTATTAACTTTGTCCATGTTTATATGTTGGGTTTTTCTAGTGCTACTTAAACTCCCGTATTTGAGCATATAGAGCTACTCTATCAGTTTGAGAGAAATACAACAGATGCCTACCTAGGACTATGATGATACAAATAAAATAATCTAATGCATATAAAGGGACTTTGGCTAAATAAAATTGCAGAATTTTCTTCTCAATCTTGTGTGTTTCGGTGGATGCTGGATTCCTTTGATAGCTGCAAATGAATGCCATGTTAATTTATCTCCTTGTGCCAATGTGAGGCTACGATTTTTCTCTTTTTTGAATTCTTTTCTTTAATTGTTTTCTTTTAAATATTTTATGAATATTATGAGTGTTCCTAATTTTAGCCAATTTTTTAACATCGGGTTACAATTGTGGCACAAAATCTTAATCAACTTGATAATTTTGTTGGTTTTAAATTCTCTTTGAATTTCTTTGATGTAATAATTATTGAGTTATCATTTAATTTACATTGCTTGTTTTGGCCTTAAGGCGAGAGATGATTAATTCTTATTTAATTTGGTGGCCTTTGAAACTGTGAATCCCAAATATATTTTGTGATGTGCATCTAGATCCTATGATATTCTGTATCACTTTTATTGTTAACAAATAACATAATATATCTAACATGCTTATTAGCTAAGTTTAAAAATTATTGGTCTATTTAAATTAAGCTTTTATTATGACATCTTTTAGAAGTATTTTGCACCTCAATCAAATTGCAATTGTATTTGACTTGTAGCATGTTGGTTCAATTGAGTTTAGATAAGGCTAATGATGATTATAATTCTATTTTGATGCACTTTTTATAAATCAACTATAATATTCTTCTTCAGGTTTCAAGTGGATTCAGCTCCTGCTATTGTGTTCGTAAAGGATCCTAGTGTCATTCCTCTTGTTCATCATGGCATGGCTTAAGCTTTATTCCTTACCATGTTTATTAGCGTTATGATTGTCTTTTGTTTATTTGGCACATTAATTGTATTTTTATATCCTACTGCAGGTAGTCTGAATAGTTCCCTGTTTTTTGAACTAATGGAGAAAAACAAAAATCAAGGTAAGTTCTTCGCAATCACAATTGATAATGTTCTACTTGTTTCTAATGTTTAATTGCTTCATTATATTTTGATGAAAGAATAAATGTTTTCTTGCATTTGGAAGTGATGTTTTCTGGCATTTTATGGGGCTACTAATTGAGAAAAAAATAGAATAATTATTGATTATTTGAAATAATTACCGGTTAGAAATTATGAAATGTACCTTAGTTGATATTTTTCTTTTTTTAAACATAATTTTATAACAAGATAATGACATGAGTATAATGTGAGCAGTTATGAAGTATTGCCAGATTATAATTAAAAATACAAAAGTTCATGTATTTATAGCACAAAATTAGACGTTGGATGATCCAATAGTATAATAGAACAACAAAGGATAGAATATTAGTCATTTGAACTATCTTGATTGATGTGTAGTGAAAAATGAAGAGTGACAATATATATTTTCTTGATTACAACCCCGTTTGATAAGTAAGATTTGTAATCTCCTATCCATCATAACAGCGTCACTCAAAATGCTCCCATTGGCCATCTATGTTCTTACTAATAGAAGGGAGAGGGGAATCTCTACAATTGGAGAAATAAATTATGATGGCTTGCTTTCAAAGAATGTAGAAACCATTTATGGAAAGGCTAGCAGGGATGGACATTACCATGCCAATTGGCGAAATAAATTATGATAGCTTGTACCTGAATATTTGATCTCCTCAAATTGAGATGAGCCTTAAAATAATCAATGAAATTTTTGCAAAGATTTTGCAGAAAGCGCAATGTTGGGGAATGCTTTCATAGACTACCTTCTATTAATATCCAGAAAATTGAGCTAGTCCACAAATTCTCTTGCATTGGCATGGTAATGTCCATCCCAACCAAAACTTTGGTTGTAGGAGTCCTCGGCAGATGGTTGTAGTAGCATCCACTTACAAAGGTTTTCAAAGATAGAAACATTATTGAAGTTGAGGAAAACCTATCTAGATAGGTATGATAGATTGTTCTACATATGCATTGAAATGGGGAGACCACTTAAGTATATGTATCGGGGAAACAGTGTGTTAACCTCTGTATAAAGAGCAAGAAGGGAAGAAAGTAGAAATCCAGCGTACATACCTTATGCTCGGCGGATCCACGAATTCTGCAGCGAATTCAGCTAAAATCGGCGCCGTTTGCATCATTTCCCTAAACTCCTGCGCGAAGCCTGCGATCCGTAGCTCCATCCTCTTCGTTAAATACCCGAGCGAACGAAGACTTTGGGTCGCTATTCCAGTTCGCAAGCTCCCACGACTCCTTCATCCAGTAGCCACACCTTTTCTTCCTTCCCTCCAGCTCTCTGCTCTCCCGCTTCCACACACGCGAAAGCTCCGCTCCTACTCCTTCCGATCTCCCAGCTCTCTCCGACCTAGCTTCGATCCGAACTCACCATTTCCTCCTCTGCCTCTTCCGAAACCACACCCACATCCAATCGGCGTAAAGCCGCCGTCAGGGTTCGATGGGCCCAGCCGTTTGAACCCAGCCCCATCCGGCATTACTCTTGCGATTAAAGCCACCGGACCTTCAGGTTCGATCGTCCAGAGAGAGAGAGAGAGAGAGAGAGAGACGAGAGGATCCTACCTCCCTCCGACGACGTTCTCTTCCTGTCGGATTCGGAGTCACGACATTCTGATCGGAAGCAACACAAGAACTTGCCGCGGTGAAGGTAGCGATCTCCCTTAAGGGAGCTTCTTCGGCCGAATCCCCTGTTGCCGAACAGCCCCCTTTTAGGGCCTTTTATTATTACAATTATTTTATTTATTTTTTATATAATTAGTTTAGTTTAAATTATGTATTAATAATAATTGATTAAATCTAATCAACAATTATTATGTTAATTATAATTAATCATTTAATTTAATCATAATTAGCTAAGTTATTATGTTTAATTAATATTGATTATAATTAGTAACTAATTAATTGCGCTATTAGTTTTTAATTAATTAAAGTAATTATAATTAATTATTTTTATATGATAATTAATTATTATTAATCATTAATTAATCATAATTAATTAAATTTAATTATGTTTAATTATTTTAATATAATTAATTGTTAATTAATTATACATTAATTATAATTAATTAAATCTAATCATAATTTATGCTAGCTAATTAATAATAATAATAATAAATTGTAAAGAAGAAAATGTGTCACCCTCTCTTACCTCGGCATGCGTGTTGGGCCGACAAACCACCTATGCACACCTTTGTTGAGCGTGGTAGGAGGGAACCTGGTGCGACACCTACGACGAGGTAGGCGAGTGACCCCTCGATCCATGTGCCAATACTGACAACCCCGCGAAGGTACGAATTTTTCTAAACTCAAAACCCTACTTCAATGTTCGTGGCGGACCGGAAAACTGCCCATGCAAGCCTTTGTTGCGCATGGTGGGATGGGACCCCGGTGCGGCACCTACGGCGAAGCGGGGTCACTCATAAGTACCTCCGAGCGGGGGGAAAGCAAATTACTTGTTTAAAAAAAATGCTTTTTTTTTTTAAAAACCCATGCACGCCTTTGTTGACGTGGTGGATGAAAAAACAAAATATCACCGTCGTGGTGTCTCACAAACACCAACCGGGCACGTCTTTATTGATGTGGCGGGTAGGCGGCCTCTTGGTTTTTTTCCCCTAAACGGGGGAGACGTCGGGAGGCTGTCAAAATTTTGTCTGAAATAAAGACAAGGACTTGGAACAATTTGGGACTTGTGGACTTAAATCAAATGGACTTAAATAGACTTGAACTCAAATGAACTTGCAAGTGGACTTGATTGACCTCATTTTGAACTCGGACTTGAACTCTACAAGACAGCAGGGGACTACTTGAACTCAAATGAGTTGAACAAAGGACTAGAACTTGAACTCATTTTGGATATGAAATATAACTTGTAATTTGACTACAAAGACCCGGACTTTAAATGTTAAATGTTTAAATCAAAACAAAAAGAATACAAATGCTATTAAAACTTGGAATTGTTCAAATGAACATCAACAATCAAATAGAGGACTTATGGAATTCAATATTATTTGAAGCATATTTGCAAGCAAGAATCGAATGAGAAATGACATTGATATACACTTGAGTTTGAATGGTTGAATATGGACTTGAGCTAAGCTTGAGCTTGAAGCTCATTTGACTTAAATAAATTATGATTTGAACAATATAAGGTGCAGGAACAATAATGAAATTTCATTTGAGCAGCAACACAATCAAATTTCATGACATAAAGTGATGCCCTCAAGTGATAACACAACTTGCTTGCAAAAAGAGAGATCAACAAGATCTCTACCTATAAGCTATGGCATGAAACCTCCAACGAACGTCAAAGATCCATCATGAATTCATAATCAAATGCAAATGTCATCAAGCCAGCTCATCATACAAGATTTAAGTCATCTTCATGTGATAGTGGAACACTTGTAACATTCAATATGGCTTGCATATAGCTATGCTCATCTATTACGAACACAAGAGCAAAATGAAGTCAAGTATATTGAACCTTACAAATAGAGGGGATTCGATATGCAACAAGTGCAAAGGGGTACGAGCATACAAACTCCTACAAGCTATTGTAAAAGATCCATTGCACGCCTAATGTGTTATCTACAAGTAAACCTTAAGGAGTTCTAAATATGATTACAATCAGTAGCATGGAGTTTCCGTTGCACGCCTAATAAAATTTTCTATCAAAAATTCAAATTCATGCTTTAAAAACACTCCTAAGAACCTTAGAAATAACTTTTCTAAAAGCACTTAGTAGAAAATAGGTTTTGGTTAAAAAGCCCTAATTTCTCTTTCTCCAAAAATCTCTCCAAAATCTTCATTTCTACTGTTAAAATGTTCCTCTAATAAATCCCTATTTATTCCTTAAAGAAGTTTGGAAGAAAAACACATTTTCTATAAAAACCCTAAAATTTCGTTCTCAAATTTCTTGAGATTTAGAAGGGGAAATGAAAATCTAAAACATACCTTCTTCTTCCCTTGATCTCCTCTTCGATTTCTCCTAAAATTTTCGCCGGAAAAACGCCTTGCCCCTTGTCCGACGCCTCACGCCCGCTCCTCTTTCTTCCGCTCGGTTTGGTTGTGATTTGCAAATGGGAGATGAGGGAAGGGTTTCGGTTTTGTCTAATAAGAGGAATTGGAATTGCCAAATGTCCATTATGCCCTTAAGAAATTTTCGCCAACAAAGAGGCTTGACGACGCGAGCATAGAAGCGAACAGTATCATCTTTCGTCAACAAAGAGGCTTGACGACGCGAGCATAGAAGCGAACAGTATTATCTTTCGTCAACAAAGAGGCTTGACGACGCGAACATTAAAGCCAACAGAATCCTTCGTCGATGGAGTGACTCGACAACACGAACATTGAAGGCGGCGTGAGCATTGAAGATTCATTTCTTCATTCTTCGTTTTCTTAATCGCAGGCTCGGTATCAGAACTCGGTACGGCTCGGTACCACTCGATACCATGCACCGCTAGGTACTCTGTACCGCTCGGTACTCGGTACTGCTCGGTACCGCTCGATACTCGGTACTGCTCAGTACTGCTCGGTACAGGAACTCAGTATCGCTCGGTACTGCTTAGTACAGAGGGGTATCGAATTGTACCAAGCAGTACCGAGAAGGTAGAGAAAACTTTAAAACAAATCTTATAATAAAATATTGTTCCAACCAGCAAGCCATGGGAAAGCAGCCAGAGAGGGACCTGAGGAGCCAACACAGGAAACGGGGCAAAGGAGTTACGGGAAAGCAACCAGGGAGGAGAAACGAAAAGACTACCAGCCATAGCATTGACTCACAAGGAAAAAACCAAGGATACACAAGAATAGGAAGAGGCAAGCTCCACTCCACATACCTTTATGAATTAATCAACTAGGAAGTGCAATTATACCACCAAATAATGAGCTAAACTTCAGCTCAAGCATTGATGAGCTAGCACCAACTAGAACCCCAATTTTTTAGCTCAAAACCAAGCAGCCAAAGCCCATCCGAGAACAGCAAGCAGCCCAAGGACAAGAAGGACCCAATTGCAAGTAAACTGTTATGCTGGGCCGGCTGGACCGGTCCTCTTTTACTCCAGAAGGCCCAAGCTGGGCGAAAATCAGGCAGAAAAAAGAGGGGGGGGGGGGCAGCCCTTGTGGGCCCAAGCAATGAACGTAATAAAACTTTAGGAGGAAAATTTTGAATTAAGGGGCTATTTAGGGATTTTTAATAAGTCCTTTTACTTTAATTAGGAGGAATGGTGTGAGTTAGGGTTTCATCTTGAGATTTGCTGAAATTTTGAGATCTACTTGTGGATTGGGGCTCTAGGCTTTGCTAGAGAGTTTTGGAGAGTGGTTCTTCCTCTCGAATTGAAGAACATTGTATCTTACTTTGTTTTCTTGCATCTACTAGTGAAATCTGTGTTTTCCCTCCCTAATTTCTACTGTTTTGGTGGCTTACTGCTGGGACAGCTGTTTTTCTTCTGTTTTCGTACTAATCTTGACTAGATTGGCTTGCGAACCCTAAACTTGCTTTACTTAGAGACGAAGGATACAGGTGGGGTGTAAACTTGCGGAGAGACGAAAGAGATTAGAAGCCGAGAAGAAGGGTGGAAAGAGCTCGCAAGATTTCCAAAGGAGGTGGAAGAAGAAGGTGGACAAAGCTCGCAAGCTTCTCCAAGAAAATCCCAAGGATTTCTTTTCCAAAAATTCATATATCTCTCTCTAAAATATTACATAACCCCTCATATTTATAGGTATGAAAGGGGGAATACAAACAACCACACTAATTGAATTCTCATAGGAATCCAAACATCACAAGCCACGGAAAAGCCCCCTGCTTTTCACGGGAAACAGCCCAGCCATGGAACCGAAGAGGCAGCCACGGAACCAAAGAGGCCCGCACAGAACCGAGGTGCCAAAAGGCACGGAAAGGCCCCCAGCTCGGAAAACCAGCAGCCCACTGTAGGAACCAAGGAGCCAAGGCACGGGAAAAGCCAACCGTGGAAGCCAAGGCACGGGAAAACAAATAACCTTGGCATTCCAAAAGCCATTTTGGAATCCCAAGGGACAACTTAAATTTAAGACATAAAAACTATAAATAAAAATAACATAATTAAGATAACTAATGAACTAAAACCTAGCTAATTAATGTGCTAACCTTTAGTTCAATAAATAAACTAAAAAACCAGCTCATAAATGAGCTAAATTCTAGCTCAAAATTTTTTGAGCTTGTAAGCTCGAGGAAAGTCAAAACCAACTTATTTTGGGTTTGAGTTGACCCCCCCTTTGCCTACATCAGACTCCCCTTCTTGAGAACTCATCTCCCGATGAGTTAGCTTTTGCTTTCTTTGGAGGAGGTGAAGACGGAGCATCCAACTCTTTGATCTTTTCTTCATATTTCTTCAGGATTTCTTCTCGTTCTTTCAGAAATCGATCTTGTAAACGCTGTTTCTTCTTCATATACCTTTCTGTACATAAGTGCATCCATGATTGAAGTTTGTACAGCTCATACAGCAAAGGATTTGTTGATTCTGATGGAATCCATCTATCCATAGGATCTTCAATTTCATCTGGCTTGCTTTCTCCAATTTTTTTTTGTCTTTTTTCATTTTTTTAAACGACTCAAATAAAAAAAAAGACTCAACGATAAACTTGACCCAAATAAAGACTCAATCTAAATCTTAGACTCGCAAGACTCACACAACTCACAACAAGACTTGACTTGACAAACCAAAACAATATTTGACAAACCAACCTAGGACTTCCTAACTTGCTCTGATACCAAATGATGCGGGCAAAGTTCCGGGGGATGGGGGGGACCCGAGGACCTCTGCCCATAAGGAGGACAGACCCGACTAAAAGAAAAGGACTCCTACGAAATTAAACGAAAAAACTCTTATATTTCAAATAAAAGAACACTCTTATAAATAAAAACTCACAAAATAATTTGAATCAAATAAAAATTAAGACTCTTACAACTTTTGACTCAACCAAGACACCCTAAACTTGCTTTACTTAGAGACGAAGGATACAGGTGGGGTGTAAACTTGCGGAGAGACGAAAGAGATTAGAAGCCGAGAAGAAGGGTGGAAAGAGCTCGCAAGATTTCCAAAGGAGGTGGAAGAAGAAGGTGGACAAAGCTCGCAAGCTTCTCCAAGAAAATCCCAAGGATTTCTTTTCCAAAAATTCATATATATCTCTTTAAAATATTACATAACCCCTCATATTTATAGGTATGAAAGGGGGAATACAAACAGCCACACTAATTGAATTCCCATAGGATTCCAAACATCACAAGCCACGGAAAAGCCCCCTGCTTTTCACGGGAAACAGCCCAGCCACGGAACCGAAGAGACAGCCACGGAACCAAAGAGGCCTGCACAGAACCGAGGCGCCAAAAGGCAGGGAAAGTCCCCCAGCTCGAAAAACCAGCAGCCCACCGTAGGAGCCAAGGCATGGGAAAAGCCAACCGTGGAAGCCAAGGCACGGGAAAACAAACAACCTTGGGATTCCAAAAGCCATTTTGGAATCCCAAGGGACAACTTAAATTTAAGATATAAAAACTATAAAGAAAAATAACATAATTAAGATAACTAATGAACTAAAACCTAGCTAATTAATGAGCTAACCTTTAGTTCAATAAATGAACTAAAAAACCAGCTCATAAATGAGCTAAATTCTAGCTCAAAATTTTTTGAGCTTATAAGATCGAGGGAAGTCAAAACCAACTTATTTTGGGTTTGAGTTGACCCCCCCTTTGCCTACATCAAATTGTAACACATGTTAAATCTATCCCATTAGTGCTCTGGACAATATAAGCATTTTCTTTATTAGTTTGGTTCTTTTCACCCTACCCTCATAGTTGCTTGCAATTCATTCACCATTTCAGCTTGAAAGGCTGGCTTGTTATAGCTATAAGAAATTATGCTTTTTTTCATCGTAGTTAGTAGAGTTTAGTGATTTAGAATTGCATGCCTATTCCGTTCATAGGCATTTTTATGTTATCTTGATCTTAATTTCAATTGATTCCAGAATTTATACAATCAAGTTGTGCAAGTTTTCAGATTCTATAAATTACCGTTTTGCTATTTTCTTTTGTAATCCAGAACTCCCCCAATTAAGAAGCGCAAATTCCATGGAGTTAGGTTGTGATGCTAAAGGTTTTTCTCGTGCTGGAAATTATGCTGAAACTTGGTATTGTGCAATTGTTGCTGGTCGTCCTGGCCTTGCACTAAACAAAATGAGAGAAGTTTGTTTCATTGCTCAATTTTCTACTGATTTGTGGAACAGTACATCTTTATCAAACTTCTTGTAATTTGAATTTATAATTATTATAGGCCATGCGCAGGATCCAGAATATATTAATAGATGATTTTGGCTCCAATGGAGAGAAAACTTCCATTAAAACTCCTGTAGCTGCTGCAGTATTTAAAGAGAAACGACTTACATTTGCATGGCTAGATGGGGGAGTTCAGAAGGTTTGTCAATTACGTCTTTGGATCTAATAGCTTTGTTTCTCCATTATCCTTTTCAGTCATAGTGCAAGTGCTGAACTTGTTCTGTTTTAAAGTTGGAGTTGATTTAGATGTTGGTTATGCTTACATAATGGTCGATAATTTCCCTTGTGGGAATTACGTCAATTTCACAGTTAATTATCTTTGTAGCAGGTTTGTATACGTTGTGTTATGCAGCTGCAAGAAACATTAATTATGATCCCAGCCCAGAAAATGGGATTGCTTTTAAAAAAAATACAGTTACATTTATGAAAAACCAAGTGCATCAGCATAGATGCATGTAATCTAAACTGCGATTGTTTGCTGTCCCAGCACTACATGGAAGTATTATTAATAATTTCCTGTCCCATTCAGAGTAGCCAGGATTATATCTTCTTTCTTTTCCATACCTAAATAACATTTTCTTAAACCATGTCTGCCCCTTGCAATCTACATTTTAGTTTGGCGCTCAAACCACAGTTCTCTAGTTCGATGTCATTAATCTAGAAAACTAAGATAACTTGTGTAATGTGTCAATCCTGCACACGCGCTACAAATAAGAGGTAAATTCTTGTAATTGTGCTTTGATTATAAGTAGTTTGTCTTAAAATTTTCCTGCTCAGTTTTTAGTGAGAAACATATGTGTTAAATATACAAAATATAACTGCCAAATGATGTACCACATGATAGCTAGGTTTCCAACCTCTTTGAAGAAAATGTTTTTTATCAGGAAGTTAACAGTTTCCTGCCTGGGCAATATATTTATGCAAAACGATTTATATTGATATATGCTTGGTCATCACAACATCTAAGTGGCTAATTTCAGTTGTATGATCATTTAAAGTTATGTTTAAATGAGGTCCTGCATGATAATTTTTGGTGCTGTCCATCTGCTCAAGTTATTGACTTGGTGGTAAAAAATTTTAAAATAATAATAATAATAATAATAAGTTATTGGCTTGGTGGTAGCCTCAATAAATTTCGTTAATTATGTTTATGGTACACACAACTGTGACTACAATTTGAAGCTGTACCCAATTTTTCTGGACTGTATGGTGATTTGAAACTGTGTTGATATATCAGTTTCAAAAGTTGATCATCTTCCATCTCTTGAGTGGTCGAGATTATTTGTAGGATTATAAATTAATAATATCTACTACAAAAAGAGAACGATGAGCATAGGCTATGAATGAGACCATGTCTAGCCTCCAGAGAAAGAAGAATGATTTGTCAATGGAATTTCTATGTAAACATCTTCTATTTCCAATTCGTTTAAGCTTGGCTTTTTATCTTTTGGTGATAGGATGCTAGATTCTGGGTGGTTTGATTGTTACATCTCTTTTATCCTTTTATGAGAAGATTTCTGCCATTTCTATTGATATCCTCACTTCATCACCAGGAAAATTATATCAAAGATCTATAATGCAGATTGTACTGAAATGTTTCATGTTGATTTGAATTAGGGGATAATTGATGTAGAACTAAATGCATAGGTAATTATGCAATGTTGAAATTAAACGCCTTTTAAATTAGAGCAACAACTTCTAGTGATTTAAATAAATCTTGAAACAAGAAAGATGCGATTTAAGCTTAGGTCAAATTACATGATAAGAGTTAGAATCATGAATAATCAGTTCCAATCAAGCTTAGCATAGCATGGGGGATTTTCAAAAGAAATCCCTAAGTTAACATTTGGACTAGTCACTAATTGGATCCACTCATTCACGCTCTTGATGTTTGGCTAAGCGGAGATAAATTGCACAACCTTTATTATGCCACAATTGAGAAGAATAAGTAGGTAAAAGGAAAGGGAAGGAGCTTATTCAAAGGAAGAGATATGATGCTTCAGTGTGGACGTTTTCGGTGCCAATAAAGAGAAGGCAACAACCCGAACCCTTATTACATGTCTTGGACGGCAACCTAGCACCTTTAGGATGTCTGGACAGCACTCATACAGGTTCGGGACGGCTGGACAGCAAACTGGTTTATCCCGGAGATTGGGACAGCATACCAAGACGCTCTGAAAATTCTGGACAGCAGTTTTCAAATATCCAGGAAATCTAGACAGCAGTTTAGGGATATGTCAAAATCTTGGAGTACAAGCTATTTGGGAAGAGAGCACCAAGTGGTCGTCTTGAGGAAGCATAGGGCAGCAATTAGCAACTTGGAGAGAGGATCATTTTAGGGTTTGAGCCATCCATGAGATTTGTAAGCAAAAAATATAGGGGACCCTATATTTTTTGCTTAACAAAAATTATACTTAAATGACACCTGACAAAGCAAAGTCTAGAAGAGGAAAGAACAAACTCTTACATTTCAATTTAAACTAAACAAAAGAAAACTACAACAATACAAACGACTCCAAATAAAATAAAAAGACGAAATTACAACGACGACGACTTGCAAACTTAAAATTAAAATACGACACCCTAAAGTTGCTGCACTTGGAGAAGAAAGATACAGATGGAGTGGCACTTGCGGAGAGACGAAAGAGATTAGAAGCCCGAGAAGAAAGGGTGGAAAGAGCCCGCAGGATTTCCGGAGTGGATGAGAAAAGAAGAGTGGAAAGAGCCCGCAGGATTTCCAAGCAACCCGCAGGTTAACAGATTTTTTTCCAAAAATCACATATCACATAACTTCACTACTTTTAAACAATACATAGCCCCCATATTTATAGGTATGAAAGGGGAATACAAAAGGTCACAAACATTTAATTAAACACTTAAAACTAAACATTAAAAAGTATAGAAATCTCCCCCCCAAGTTCTCGGTTTACACCCAAACCAGGAACCAAGGAGACGGCCACGGGAGACGAAGGGAACTGCACGGACCGAGAGCCACAGCCGCGGGAACCGAAGGAACCGCACGGACCAAAGAGCCAGCCGTGAGATCCCAAGAGACATACACAAAAAATTAAAAAGCCATGGTGGAATTCAAGGAGCCACCATGTGAAAAAGAAATCTTGGAATTCCAAAGGCCGGTTTGGAATTCCAAGAGACAAACATTAAACAAACATAAAAAGCATAAAACTATATTTATTAAAAGATAATAAATGAACTAAAATGTTAGCTCATAATGAGCTAACCCTTAGTTCAATAAATGAACTAAAGTTCAGCTCATAAATGAACTAAAAGTTTAGCTCAAATATGAAAAACTACTAGACTCAAGGGAAGCCAAAATATGATTTATTTTGGACTTGTGTTGACCCCCCCTTTGTCTACATCAATGAGTAGGGGAAATTATCATCTATCGAGAGAGATAATAATTGAGGGAATTAAATGGGGGAAAGACAAAAAGGGGAAAGAGGGAGAGAGAGGCGGCCGGTGGCTATGGAGAAGGGGAGGGGATGTGGGAGGGAATTAAGGGATTACCAATCAAAGCCAATCTCAATTAAGTAAGAGACTTTAATGCCATTATCCTTTGAGATTAAATTCAAATTTAAAAGGCCTTGATTGGATGGCCTTTCCAAATATAACTCTTAATTTATGAATTAATTTCAAATTCGAATTGAATTGAAATATGAAATGAAAACTCTCCTAATTTAGATTCATCACATATGGAAAGTAACCAATTTAGGGATTTGAATTTTGGAGGCAATGGAGGGATGATTGGGGCCGTCGGTTTAGGATTAGGGTTAGGGGTGGCCAGCGGCTAGGATTAGGGTTAGGGTTAGGGGTGGCGACTAGAATTAGGGTTAGAGTTTGGGCCGGTGGCTATGAGGAGGAGGTGGGGAGGCCTTGTGGCCGGCGGCTAGGTGGGAGGAAGGTGGAGGCCGGCGGCTAGGACGGAGGATGGAGCGGTTGGAAACTAGGGACGAGGGGAGAAGAAGTTGGTGGAGATGAAGAACCACGAGCCGGACGTTTCCTGCGGCTGATGGGTAATACTTGCCCTCACATAGGGTTTTCACTCTCAAGAGAACCTCTCAACTCTTCCAAGCAAAAGTGCAGAAATTTGTTTGTAATAATATTCATCATCCCTCAAAAGATGAGGAGGCTTTAAATAGCCCAGATACAATGAAGGAAATAAAAGACAAAATACCCCTAGGACTTACATAGGACTACTCCCTCAAGTGAGGGTACAAATGAAAAATATGCAATAATAACTTAATACAATCTTAATAATAAATCTACTATAATTGATGACTCAAAAGTAAAGCCGTGCAATCATGGCCTTAGATCGTCGGCCCCGTCTCTAATAAACTCTCTAGGGTCAGATGTCCTTCTGCTAGTGTATCTTTTAGCACCACTACAGTTTTTGGGAGTCTAATTTATATTGTTGTTTATCATGAATAATCTCTTCCACATCCTATCTCCTTTGTCCTCCACTGTGTCTGTTTGAGCAATGCTTTTGCTCTTTCTTTCCAGTTTCTTGCATCCTTGTAAAATTCTCTGTAAGTGCAGGTCTGTTGGTAATTCTCTCTACTTTATTGATCAAACTGCAATCCAATCTGTTATTTTTTCTTTATTTCAAAATATTTTGCATGGTTATCATCTCAAGATACTGAAACATAAGATGAAGAATGCTTGAACTATTTTGGTTGCTTCTAGCGACATCTTGCACTGTGTGGAAGTGCACTGATTTCCAGGAATCAGCATCCTATATATTTGGCGATTATAGGGGTGTTATCTGGCCTCCATGTTTCTCTTTCTTAGCTTCTAGTATTTTCATGTGTGACAATAATACCTTTTTATGTTACATGTGATCATAGTAACTTTGAACAGAGTGATTTATTGTTTACCCAAAACTGAAACTGCTTCATTTCATGCTTGCTATAAACATTTTGCATAGCGGTGGGATGCTTAAGATTTTATTCAGTTCATGTTAATTTTTCTTGTTTCAGTTAGGCATTTATGGACTTGCCGTAGAGGCATGGAACTACCTTTTTTAAGCTTATTACCTAGAATGGAATTTATTAAAAGTTTGCGAATGTTGTTGCAGGTTTATTGTTTGTTTTATCTGCATAAACTTGAGAACATCTATGAAACATGCGGGCCCAGTGATTATGATTCTAACAATATGCCTCGGCTATTTATTGTCCGTTACAAAAGAAATTCGTCTGAGGATGAAGCAAGGACTAAGAGAAAGCCCAACAATATTTGGAATGCATTTGATGGGGAGGATTCCAATCTTGCATCTCAGATAGTTGCTATATATAATGGCTCAATGGATACTCAAGAGGTACATATTCCTTGTTTTGGATAATGTACTAGTACTAACTGGGAATATGCTGAAGTGTTCTATCCGTGGAAAATTATGTTATATCCATGTCAGTGACAGTGATATAACTCATGGAGAGAGCTTAGAACTTGTAGGTAGTTTTAATCCGGTCAATGAAGCAAATCATTGCTGTAATTAACAATCATCATAGTCACCATACTTTTCTATAAAAAAAAAAAAAAAAAAAACCTTTCCTTTCGATTAGATATTTCTATGAAGGTTGTTGACTGTTTGTCCGTGCTATTTATGTCAGTATACTTCATTTGCTTTTCCCATATCATCATTTCTAGCTTCACAAATTTCATATTTGGCAGGTCATTCAATGGTTATCATGGATTGTAGAGGATGGCGATAAGAATACCAGTCATCCTTATTTTGTAAGTGGCTGGTGTAATGTCAAGCTTCGTTGGTCTCTTTTCTTTTTCTGAATTTTAATGGTCGCTCTTACTCTGAAAATTTTGAGTGAGCACTTGTAGTAACTATACATAAAAATCACTGACCTGCTGGCGCCTACTTAGCATTATTAAGGAGAATCACATGGGTTGTGAATTTTATCGTGTGATGGATAAGAACATTCCACATTTGAGATTATTTAATCGAATATTTTCATTTGAATGTTTTTAGATGTTTTGCCTAAACTGTCATCATTATTAGCTTTATGCCAATTATTTGTAGTATGCTTTATGAATCCTCATTTTCATTTTTTTCCTTTTGAGTGATGTTTGAGAATTTAAACCTAGTCTTTGCAAATCATTTTGAACAAGTTCTATCCATGTAACTATGAGTCTACCTCTTCTCCTTTATAATTCTTGGGCGCTAATTTTATCTACTTTTCTAATAGGGGTATTTTTTATACCCTTCATTGAACGTGCTCAAGCTATCATAAGTCTATTTTCAATCACCTTATTTTCCAATAGGTGTCACTCCATTTGTTCCTCTAATATAACCATCCTTAAATTATCTTTTTTATTTTTGTCACGCATCAATCTATATATTACTATTATTGTCTTGCTCTATTTAAATATCAATGACTTTTTTGCTGCTTAATATTTGAATCCATACAATATTATCAACCTAATATTTGCCTAAATTGTCTAATATCAAATTTAGTTAATAGATGGAAGATGGATAAATCTCTAACTCTTTCTACCTGTTTTACTTGTTCTTTCAATAATACGGGATTGTTTTTTAGAAGCTCAATTCATCGTCCAACATAAAGCAATATAAGGGATAAATTTGTGGTCTTACCTATTACGGGGAAATAATATCTCAATTTATGATTTGTGCTTATTGAGGTTTTTTGAGGAAGAGATACTGTATGTTGATCTACTGATTTTTTTCTACTTTTCACATGTTTAATTTATTAAGTTGGCATATTTTGGTGTCAGCTGATGGAAATTTTAGAAACAGATTGGGCTCACTAAACATTAAAATGAGAACATTGCAGCTTAAACTTAACCGTTTTCTCTTTTTATGCTTCAATTTGTATCTGTTCAAAAGCCAAATTTTTAGTAGTCTTTCAAGTTCGTCTCTATTTTTTGTTGATTTCCATATTATTTTCAGCAAGTTGATTTTATGGAACGCATTTTCCAACTGTTAAATAGATAAAAATGGAAAAGATTCTATTTCTTTTGGTTGGGCCATGTTTTGTGTTAGATCCTTGAGGTTGTTGTTCATGATATTGTTGTCATATTAAAATTACTTTATTAGCTCTATATCTGAATTTTTAAGAAGCTTAACATGTTTTTAGAAGTGCATGTTTTAGACTTGGTTAGGTAATTAGTTTGTATGCAACAATATCATTGATTTGTTTGATATGTACAGTGAGACACTGGGGGAAGCTACATAAGGATCAATTCAATATATCAAATACAATCATCTTGAATTCTTGATACTTATTTCAAATTATATAATTTGCCACATATACCATGGTTAGAGAAATTAGACAGTACAATCACTCAACTTTTTTTTCTTTTTTTCTGGTTCATTTTTCTGGATAATTTAGCTACATTTGTATAACCTTAGCTACCAATTCATTATTAGTTTGTGCTGAACAATCATTCTATAGGTGGATAGATAATTCAGTGCAATATGTATATAATTCAAAAAATGATGGTTGCCTTGGCTAAGGATTACTATTTCTGCCATTTATTATGAAACTTTATAATGTACTTCTACAAGACCTATATGTAGTTTCCAATATGCTATGATCTACATCTTTTGCAGAAGAATGAAGTGAATTAAACCTGCCTTAATGTACAACAGCTTCAGTTATGTTGGCTTTGCTATTCATGAATAAAACTCGTTACTCTTTTTATTTCTGACTACATTGTGCTCTCCGTATTAATTTTTACTAATATTTTTAAATGCAGATTGGAGCAGCTCCTTCACTTGTTCCAGAGGATTCAACTACATTTGTTTCAAAGAGTGCCCAGAATATATTCTCCACTGGCAAGGGAATAAAAACTAGTATTCATGGCGTTATTATTGGCATCCGTGATTACCTGAGAGATCCCAGAATCGGTCCAGTTTTAATTTTGTTAGCTTGCGTATCATTTGGAACCATTTGGATGCAGTCGAACACTCTGCCAGCACAGCCTACTAAAGTGGTGAGCTTAATGTTGACCAAGAACTTTATGAAGCTATAATCATAAATGCATGGTACTTTGTTTTGGTGTTCTGTTGTATACTTCAAGGCCAAGTTTAATATTTTCTTTCTGCATTACTCAGCTGACTAATTTGTGCCTGCACTAGTGATATAACTGGCCCTTAGGCAGCTTACAGCTAGTAACAACATAACCCAGTCTAGATGATACAAGTAACAATATAACCTCAGTTTGGATGATACAAAACAAATTCCAATAAGAAAAAATTTTTAATCTTAATTTCAGGAAGTTAATAAATTTTTAACTAGTAAATTATTCTTTCTAAAAATTCCGGCAATCCTGGTTTTTTGGTTAACAGTAGATAATAAGAAATGGAGAGATTTGATTGAGTATTTCATTCGACACAATCCTAGGAGTGCTAATAGGAAACAAATAAAATATGAGAATAATAAATTACAGTTGTCACATGATTTTTTGAGTTGCCCCAAGGATCTCACCCCGATCCATGAGGTGGCTGCAGAAAAGTGAGAAAAAGTCTTGGTGAGTGTGGGTCTCAGTTGATGGAAATTATCCCAAGCGTTTCACACTCCTCTTTAAGTGAATGGATGGATGTTATCCATTTAAGCTTGCTTGATAATTTATTAAAAATTGCACGTTATAATCCTTTTGGTGAAATATCAGCAAATTATTCACCTATGGTTATTAACATGATACAAGTTAAATTGCTATCAAGTTTCTCCTATATAAAGTATTCCCCGATCCATGAGGTGGCTGCAGAAAAGTGAGAAAAAGTCTTGGTGAGTGTGGGTCTCAGTTGATGGAAATTATCCCAAGCGTTTCACACTCCTCTTTAAGTGAATGGATGGATGTTATCCATTTAAGCTTGCTTGATAATTTATTAAAAATTGCACGTTATAATCCTTTTGGTGAAATATCAGCAAATTATTCACCTATGGTTATTAACATGATACAAGTTAAATTGCTATCAAGTTTCTCCTATATAAAGTATTCCCCGATCCATGAGGTGGCTGCAGAAAAGTGAGAAAAAGTCTTGGTGAGTGTGGGTCTCAGTTGATGGAAAAAAGTCATTTAATTTGATGTTTATGTCTTTCCTTGTTTGCAAAGAAATAGGAGAAGAAATTTATATATTTCTCTTTTTTTTTTTTTGAAATTTTGTTAATAAACAAAATCTCTCATTTGAATCTTGAACATAGTAGTAATCCCTCGACCTCAATCATTTGATCCTCACGCAAAGCCACAAACCTTTATGCAGCTCCTGAATGCAACATCTTGTTGCATATTCACTTGCATGCTTTTGCACTTCTGTTACTCATGCATTTATTGCCTTGCTCGTTCTTCTTCTCCTAATTGTTGCACTTGGTCGCCCTCACTCTCTAATTTTTCCATGTATCATGCTCCTTGTATTTCACCCGCTCTGTCTTTGGCCCCTCTTTTTCTAGGTCTTATCTCTCTCCGTCTCCCTCTCTCATATTAATGAATTGACTAATAATCGGTTCCAATGAGCCCACATTATGTGGGCTCATATTTTCTTATTTTATTTTATTTTATAAATAAAAATGACCTTTACTTATGTCATGTTGCCACCCTACTTGCTTTCTTGCTTTGTGAGCATGGCTGCACTTGCATTGCTACTCGTAGCTTACACCGCCCACACATTCATTCGATCGCACTCGTTGACACTGCTCAAGCCTTAAACGTGCTTGTGCACCTATGTTGCTCATCTTGAGTTAATTTTTTTTACCATGTCTATGATTTCCTCAAATGTCTTAGATGCTAATACAAACATATATTTCTCCCAATAACTCTTGCATAGTATTATTTAGGTTAGGACCCTTCTCCTCAAAGATCTGAATACTTTCACTCTTGCGACTTCATCTCACACAATGTCATAGCCTCTCAGTGTCCTCTCAATGAATTGAGATTCTCATCTACTATCAGTACCACAATCAAGTTTTGTGATATTAATCGTCATGATGACACCATCATATTCTCCAAATAGCAAGCTTTTGGTTATCCCAAGGTTTAAAATTGCGTAAATAAGCCTCGAGGCGTTTTTGGTCCGTGAGGCGAGGCGTAAGCCTCGAGGCGGTGTGAGGCGTAAGCCTCACCGACGAAGAATTGCGTAAATGAGAATTTAAGGGTTTTAGCAAGTAAAAAATAGTAAGATTCTATCATACAATAAAAACATCTAAATGACAATTAAAATTAGGGGAAAGTAAGAAAATAGATGCAATAAAATCATGTCCCAAAGTACAAAACCACAAAATATTAGTCTATCAAAACTCCCAAAGTATAATTAAGAAAGAACATATATAATCTAATCATATCCCATCACTAAATGGGTCTTCAAGGGAATCTTCTCACCCCTTCCTCCTATAAAGTCCAATGTCTTCCAATCAAAACATGCACTCATGAAGAAATATACTAACACTAACAACTATTACTAAAGATGATGAATAGAATAATATGCCGGACTGCCGGGGGTCCAAGGGGGCGCGCCCCCGGAACAAAATTTTATTGTAAGAGTAATTTTGAAGTTCTATTTGTTTTTGAAGTTCGTAAGTTATTTTTATGGGAAGACACCGAGTGGTACCGAGCATGTTCCTTAGCAGTACTGAGCATGCACCTAACGGTACTGAGCGGTACCGAGCATGTACCTAGCAGTACCGAGCAAATACCTAGTTGTATCGAGCATATACTAAGCGGTACCGAGCATGTACCTAGCAGTACCGAGCAAATACCTAGTTGTATCGAGCATATACTAAGCGGTACCGAGCATGTACCTAGCAGTACCGAGCAAATACCTAGCTATACCGAGCATATATTGAGCGGTACTGAGCATATACTGAGCGGTACTGAGCATGTATTGAGCGGTTTTGAGCATATATTTGAGGCGTACTCCTCAGCCAGAATTGCGCAATTGCGCCTCTGAGGCCCGCCTCAATCCAAGTGAGGCGTACGCCTCTGGCAGGAGAGGAATTGTGTAAGCCTTGAGGCGGTTTTGGGTCAAATTGCGCAGAGGCGCGCCTCTTATTGCGCAATTTTAAACAGAGATCCTAAGAGCCTACCACATTAAAAGTTCTAGTCACCCCTAAGCAAAAGCAGAGAAAAACCTAAGAAAAGTATACATTTTCTAATGTGCAATCCGATAAACAATCAACACATGTTTTTGTATATATATGTAAATCAATCAAAACAAGAGTATCAATGTCCAAATTATTATAACTAGATTTGAGAGCTGAGTTGTCTGCATTATATAAACCAATCAAATTTATTTACAGGCTCTACTTGTGGGGGCTTTCAGACTCTGACTTTCAGGTAGGTCATTGAGCTTCACCTTTAGTAGACTTATCCTCCTGATTCACCTCTCCTTTAATTGAATCCCACAAAGTCAAACATACATCCTAAGTTTAATCAAATACATTTAATAAAGAAAAGTCTCAAGTTTGCAAAACAACGGATTTGGAGTTTATATATATATCATGAAAAATCACATCCAAAATTTGCTATGCACTTTGTGTTAATCCCCTGCTTCTATCATATTGGTTATATATATATATATATATATATAAGAGTAATTGCCCACAACGAATACAATCCAATAGCAATTAATGTTTATTAGGAAGGAAAATGGTAAACCTAAAATTTGTTAAAGAATACATCAACACTTGATGCAGCACTAGATCGGATGGAAATTGAGTTTCATGAATCCGGTCTCCAATTGTTAGGCTAAGGCTAATAATGACGAGAATTGGAGAAACATAGTGCAACTATTTACTTGAGGAATAGAAAATAAAGTGACCTATATAATATGCTGGATTTTTTTTTCTTGGGTTTTTGTTCTCCCAAAATACTCAACCTATATTTTTGAAGTATATCCTGTTTAGATGCATCCAATGCTAGTAGTTATTGTTTAGTAATTAGGCGATGTTTTCATGCATTTTGATAGTGTTGTTTCAAATAATTTTGCTGCTGCAATAACCTACTTTTCTCAGGAAGATGATGGTACAGATGCAGCAAGAAATCTGAGTAATCGTAGAAGGAAAGGATCGGGTCACAATATCACACCATCCATTACTGATGCAGAACCCAAAGATGCTCAGCAACTGTTATCAGATTCCAATTCGGACTAGCCACTGCAGACAGGTCAAGTCGCTGATTCATCATCAGCTATCGGCTTTGAGTAATCCATACTTAAAAGAATGAATTTAGCTCATTGGAAAGGAACGGTGCTAAAGGTTGTCAAGCTTTGAAGATTTCCGAATATTTAAACCTTCCTATAAAATATTTGAGATGTTATGTTTATTAAAGCATAAATGAGAATGTCGCGGTGTTGAATCAACCCGCTTATACTAACTAATACAAGGGGTGTTTTATTTCCCGCTAAACTATAGAACCGATTATCTGATCCGAGTTTTTAGTTTTGAAATATTCAAGCCAGTGGAGGGAAACTGTTATTGTTTTCCAGCTGATTGAATGTTTTAAATTTTATTTTTAAGAAATTGTTTGAAACACTTTTTTAGACTAACGCCCTTGACATGACAGGCGTTTGTATTTGTAAAATTATTAATGGTTTATGATGACTATTTCATAAAAGGATTATGTGATTTCGTATTTATGCTAATAAGGAAAGGGAATAGCCAACTTTGGCAAAGTTATGTAGTTTAGGGTTTAGGTGCATGACCCAAATACGTGCTGCTGAACAGGGGTCATCCAAGGCAGCTAAGTGGTAGGCAAGTTGAAACTGAAACGAGCATATTGGGATTATGGGCTGCTTGGTTGAATTATAAATAATACAGTTGTCTCATCATAACGCCGTTAAAAAACCATAAGAATACGAGCAAGCAAAAAAGTGTAGAAATGTAGCAATTCCAGCTGAAACAGCCGCAAGTACTACACCTCAATTCCAATAAATCAAAAAAAATTGCATCCAAATGTGATAATATTTATGTACCAATATTATAGAATGTCCTCAGCCACCACAGAATGCCAGAAATAGTTTAAAGAAGCCAATCAACCCAATAAAGCAGATATAACATAGCAGTAAATAGACGATGTAGTATAAGTAATCAACTAAAGAGAGGCCGTATACCATATAAAATTGAGCACATCAACAATCATAAAGATTACAAAGTAATCTAAAGTATCAAGGAAGAACTACACAATTTTCGTCCAGAAAGGCAGCATAATAGATTGTCTTTAGTTTTAATCCTACTAATAATAATTTTTCAAACCAAAAAAGTATAGTTAATTGAAAAGCCTAAAACCAAACGAGCTTCTTCCAATCCATTGTAGAAGTTTGAGAGAGAAGGAATATTTTAAAGTTATTATTGGAAAAGAATTTCTTATCCATGCAATAGTAAATAGTGCAGGAAGTCTGCTGAATATTAGTGTTGTTGTGTACAAGAATTATTAGCATAGTTTAAGCAACAATGCTTATATGTAATAAACTCACCAACACTGGCATCCATATTGTAATCAAACCACTCAAACCACATATGATTTCCAGAATTTTCAATGAAGGTTGTTCCATTTCGCTAAGGGTCTAAAAGAACAGTTTACTGGGAATATTGAAGGAAAGATAGCATCTAATTTTTCAAGAACCTTTATAAAGATTTTCAAAAAATAAAAAAAAAAGTTATATAATTTCATTTGTTGAAGCATAAGAATTAGAACATCATTCATAAAGAAAAGAGTCAGTATTATATAACCTCCAAGTGAGTTTAGATTTGAATAAGGAATGTAGAGTGTTAAAAGAGGAAAGATTAAGGCTACTATTTTCTGAAGGTAAGATAGTGACTTTCTAGGAGATTGTATAAGGTATTCCAAATGTAAGGATTTTGAAAATATTGATATTTGATTTGAAGTAAAAGGAATACAAGGTGTAAAAGGAGTGTATTCCAAATAGATCAGTCAGTGGATTTTGGGTGTTTTTTTAAAAATTCCTCAGATTTGAGTGATTTTCAACTACATTGTTAATGCACCGCCATTGTCACCACTTTTTGACCACCGCTCGCCGCTGTCGGTTGCCACCACTACCACCAGTCATCGCCCCCCTTCCACTGAAGGCAGTTGCCACGTTTCGTTGCCTCCCCTCCATTGGTGACCGCCTCTATCGCCGGTCATACATTGCTGCTACCACCTTTTGCCACTTACCCTTCCCTCCCGTCATCGCCCTCCACAACCGGTCATCGGCCACCTGTCATAACCTTTTTTTTACTTTACATTGCATTCACTTCAAACTAAACAAAAAAAAGTAAAGTCATACATTCCTTTTACACTAATTCAAACAACTTCAAAGTATTTATTTGACACCACATTCTTTTTACACTGCATTCTTTTTAAAGCAACCAAACAGCCCCTAAAATAAGCCACAATTCTATTGTAGATTGTGAGATATCAAAAATTGTTTGTCAAATGAATTTCATTTCCCTTGCACTATTATTAGTTTAGATAAAAGTAGTCAAAATTTTGATGGTGTTATAAAAGACCAAGTATACATTTAAGAATTGTGGATGAGCAGCTGACATAATCAAGGAAATATAGGAAACATTAAATTTGATCCATATACCACTATTGAGGAGGTGTGAAATTATTGCAACTTTCCTCCAATACAAAATCTTAAATTTCCTTGAATTAGCAACGCCATTAGTAACACCTTGGTTCACTTTTATTTCAAGAAGACAAAGAAGATCAATGAGGTGACCATGAATTAATTTTCTATAATTAACAATATAGATATCACCATGTAAGCCCCTAACATTCCAATCATTGATGTTGGGGAAAGACAGAAATTATTGAGTGATGGAATGGGGTGCTCCCCTTTTATTCTATTTTCTTGCTTTTTGAAGTAGTGACTTTCTAGGAGATTGTATAAGTTATTCCAAATGCAAGGGTTTTGAAAATATTGGTGTTTGATTTGAAGTAAAAGGAATGCAAGGTGTATAAGGAGTGTATTTCAAATAGACCAGTTAGTGCATTTTGGATGTATTTGAAAATTCCTCATATTTGGGTGATTTTCAAATACATTGTTAATGCACCACTATTGTCACCAATTTTTGACCACCGCTCGCCACCGTCGGTTGCCACCACGGTCGTCTGCCACCACCACCACCAGCTGTCGCCCCCTTCCGTTGAATGTCGCCGCCCCCCTTCCACTGAAGGTCGCCTCCACCTTTCGTTGCCTCCCCCTCCATCAGTGACCGCCACCATCGTCGATTGTACATCGCTGCTACCACCTTTTTCCACCTACCCTTCCATCCCGTCGTCGCCCTCCACCACCGATCATTGGCCACCTATCACAACCTTTTTTGTATTTTATATTGCATTCACTTCAAACCAAACAAAAAAAAGTAAAGTCAATCATTCCTTTTATACTAATCCAAACAACTCCAAAGTATTTATTTGACACCACATTCCTTTTACACTGCATTCATTTTCAGGCAACCAAACAGCCCCTAAAATAAGCCACAATTCTATTATAGATTGTGAGATATCAAAAATTGTTTGTCAAATGAACTTCATCTCCATTGCACAATTATTAGTTTAGATAAAAGTAATCAAAATTTTGATGGTGTTAGAAAAGACCAAGTATACATTTAAGAATTGTGGATGAGCAGCTGACATAATCAAGGAAATATAGGAAACATTAAATCTGATCCATATACAACTATTGAGGAGGTGTGAAAATTATTACAACTTTCCTCCAATACAAAATCTTAAATTTCCTTGCATTAGCAATGTCATTAGTAACACCATGGTTCACTTATATTTCAAAAAGACAAAGAAGATAAATGTGGTTACCATGAATTAATTTTCTATAATTAGCAATATATATATCACCATCTAAGCCACTAACATTCCAATCATTGATGTTGGGGAAAGGCATAATTAAATTGTTGAGTGATTGAAGGGGGTGCTCCCCTTTTATTCTATTTTCTTGCTTTTTGAAGTATAGGGCAAAGTAGTTTGATGAGAATGACCTTCCAAAGGGAAGGCAATGGAGATATGGGTCTAATGCTTTGGGAATTTAAGTAGGCTCGATAGGGAAGAGGAAGTGGTGGATGCGAAAGTAGTAGCTTCAAGGTTGCTCCTAATCATAAAGGGGTGTGAAATGAGAGAAGCAGAGAATAAAATATTTGTATATATAATAGCTCAAATTCTTAACTATCAAGGTATTGTCCGCTTTGACCTAAGGGCCTCATAGTTTTGTTCTAATGGTGTAACTTCCCAGGATGTCATCCATCCCAAGATTTCTGCAAGATGAGCAAACTTAAGTGCAAAGTTTCTTAATGAAATTCTTATCCTTACACCAAAAGGTGTCTTGATGTTTAAGAGTTTAACTTCTTTTTACTTAAGGGATTTTAAAATATCCCCCACTTCAGTAACTAACATCGTCGTCATCACCTTTATCCCATAATCATCCACCAGGTAGATACGATTATAGAGTTGAACCCCACAAGTTCAAGTGGGGACTCTCTCCACGTAGCACTTTATCTCATATAGGGTTCAAGAGGTGGATCCCATGGCATAACACTTTATATTGTATGGCAATTAATACATATCTTCTGGCTGGTGTATTGCTCTGATATCATTTGTAACAGTTCAAGCTCTTAACTATCAAGATATTGTCTGCTTTATCCTAAAGACCTCTCATAATTTTATCCTATTGGTGTAACTTCCAAGGATGTCACCCATCCCAGAATTTCTCCAGGATAAACACGCTTAACTATGGAGTTTCTTAAAGAAATTTCAAACATTACATCAAAAGGCACCTTGATTTTTAAGAGTTTAGCTTCTTTTTACTTAAGGGATTTCACAGTATGTGGTAGCAAAAGTGTTCAAGTCTTGAGCCATTGAGGGTTGTTTTAGATAGAATTATTATGGTTTAGGGTGGTAAGAAGGGGAGTAGATATAATGGTGTTGAAAGAGATTGCACAATAATATTTCTAACCTCCACGGACAAGAAATTTTTATATGTTTTCACTTCTTCCATACTAAAGGGGAATATAAAGTAGTGTAAAGGCTAGTTAGTTGTGAAGTGTGGACTATGGGTCGTAGAATTTTGGGCGATTGGATTTATCGTGGAAAAAATGTTATATGCAGAATAGAGGGAAAGTTTTCATTCATAATTGACTCATAGCACAATATCTTTCCCCTTGAACGTGATTATAACCATATTAATTAAAACTGAGATAATAGAAAATTGAATGTTAAATTTAACAAAGGTTCGCCTAATCTTTTGGTTGGGAGGGGTTCAATGGTAAGGGGAATTCTAATCTTACTTATAATTTTTTAAAGACCCTTTTCTAACAAATAAAAGGGGGGATTTAAGAATTTCACTAATTTTGGAATGTCTTTGAAATTCTCCTTGTCTTAAATAAAGTTAGGGAAGGGTTGGCTGCTGATGAACCTCCCCCTCCCCCACCCAC